GGTGAATATCATCCATCCTTTCCGATAACACTTTCACAAACTCTGACACATTCTCAGGCAACTCTTCATAAGGTGGGCGTCCTGTTAACAGATCCACTGGAAACCGAAGTTCCCGACCAAACACCAACTTTGCTGGAGTGTATCCAGTGGCTTCATGCTCTGATTTAATATCTTTACCTGGTTCCATTTCACCATCATCAACTCCTTCAGTCACTTTGACTTCAGCTTGATGACACCTAATTAGTTCAACCTCTCTTTTCACAGTTACCTGAATTTGGCCTTTGTTGTTCCCAAACGTCATTTTACCAAAATTAATTACAAACTTCGTCGGTAGTAAGTAGTCCAATCCTAATATGCATTCGTCTTCAATGTTAGCTAAGTATACTTTGTGTCTGTCCTTTATGCCCATGAGCTCACTAGTTACCCACACTGGTCCCCACAACCTTGCAGAATGTCCTGTCACACCACAAAGCTTCTGTATGGCTTCTGGTGCTCCTTCGTGATCTAACACCTTGATGCTCACAAGGGTTTGCTGAGACGCAGAATCTATGACAAAGTTGTACATTTGGCCATCCAGCTTTTCTGTCACATAGACACTATGTGTGCTTGGCATTTTACACCTAGCTTTTGGGACTTTCATGAAGCGCGTGACGTGTTACTAGCGTAACAATATCTGTTTGGATGTCCATAACGAAAAACTTCCAAGTTATGGATTTTGAATCACCATGATACTATAGAAGGTTCGTGGATATGCAATAGGAGGACAGTGTAATCCCTAAACGTATGCGCTGTCCCATTTTTACTTTGCTACTGTCTTGTGCGATCGAATAACGTAAATGCATGCAGTTCTCCTGCGTTTCCTTGAACTCGAAGCCAAAAAAATAAATGCCGTGCTTGTCGTGGGTACCTTTGGTAGTTTGGATAAATCATATAGTTTATTCGATATGGATTTACAAACAGAAAAGAGGAAAGTTATACTCTTTCCTTAGCACGTGTTATTAATCAATGTAATTTTAATTATGCAGCCACGTTGCAACGGTGTAACATAAAGGAATAAGTAACGTGGATCTGGGATTTTTTTTACAAAAAAAATTAACGTGCTTTGTTAATTGTGAAAACAAAAAGTATCAGTTGACTATATTATAGAAATCGCTGCAATGGAACTAGCTTCTGATTCACAGTTGCACATCGTTTCGACTCGGATAATGTAGCTTATGCCTAAGTAAGACCCATTTTCAACTAAAAACAGATGCTCACCTTGAATGACGCTTTTGCGTCTGCAACAGCTTTCTCGATGAAATCGTCCGAAATTTTTCTGGAGGGATGTTCGTTAAACACCGAATTCATAAGGGCGATTTTGGCAGCACTACGTCTTGCTTCTGCTTTTGTTGGACAGTTCTGTGGTCAAGATATATTAAAAAAGTGAAATAAAGAACTGGTTATTGTTTATAACTACAAAATTAGTGATATTTTACTTAAACACATCTATGCAGAACGTTAGACTTAAGATTAACACACAATAATTTTTTCAAAAGCCAGTTCAATATAACACGTTGAAATATATAAAATTCTAAGTAAAAACACAAATATCATCATGTGTATTATAAATGCAAGATATAATTATCCCGTTGATTATTTACAGAAAATTTGAGGTGATATCGATCGTTGTCATGGTTAATAGCCTATATGATCAACAAAATCTAATTATTAGTGCACGCCAAACCACCTAAAAACTCAATGGGAAGAAAAAACACGTTACAACATCACTTGTGAATCTGGGCTCCAAAGCATTAGAGGAATAAAAAGTTATAATTCAGTAGCAAAGTAGACACATAAAACTATGTAATACCGATGTATTTACAATAACCCATCACAATAAAAGAGAATAATACCAAAATAATGGGATATGAATCACACACGAGAAAACGAAAGATAAAAATATGCCTTCTGCATCCATCTAACTGATAAACCATTCAGTCAATCTGACACTGGAGTCAGAAAGACCTAAATAACTCTCTTGACCTATATAGTTGGTTCAAGTTCTAATGGGACAGAGAAAACGAACGAATAGATAACACGAAGGTCCAGAATCGAATCCTGGTTCTCCTACTACACACTTTCTTTCTCGAGAATATTAGAAGTCGAAACGTGGGATATATAGATTAATTAATGGTTAGGTGTAGCATAAAAAAAATAATTAATTAATAAGGAAACTTAGGTATTCATACAGGTTACTCACCATGAAAACGACATATGTGTGTGTTTAAAATATTTTAAGATCACCAGGATAAAGTTGAAGGTTTGATGTTATATCCAGTAAAAACCTTTTAATCGATTTGTTAAAGTCGTGAATGTAAAGGTGAATCAATCAGTTGAGATATCAATCAACTAACCGTAATAAGGACTTTTACTAACATCGAACTATCTCCCAATGATATAAAGCAATTAGAACAAAATATAACGAAATGAATTAATACTAAACTCCTATTTCATAATATATTGTTTGTTTGTTTTGTTCATGGCAAAGCTACTAAGGGCTATCTACTACCGTCCCTAAATTTCATCTTCCAGCTACAGAGAAAACAACCAGCAGGTAACAGCAATTCTTGGATTACACTTTATCAACGTAAGTGGAATTGATCGTGCCATCATAATGCCCCCACGGCTGAAAAGGCGATCATGTTCAGCGCTGGGTTTCAGTCTCGTGAACTGCAGCTTGCGAATCGAGCGCCCTAATTACAGACCATTCACAATATTTAATATATATATATATATATATATATATATA